AAAGGATTCCCATTCCACACAATAAAAAGAAAAAGAAAAAAAAGCTGCTGAAATATTTAAAAACTATGTTTGATCATATCATTTGATGGATGATTTGAGTGGTTTAGCACATTTTCCTTTCTATATATAAAAACAAAAAATTGTTCGAATTCCCATGACTAGTCCTGATATAAACGATTAATTTTCACATGAACCATTGGAACTTTTTGTAAATCTCGTTTTAATTAATGACAACTGTTTGTAGCAATTAGTGGTTCATAAGTAAGTAATTCGTGTTTATAAAATTTTACTATACACAGAAATACACGTGTCTTTGCATTATACATTTCTTTGTTTAGAAATAAAAACAAGTGTATGATTTTTCGCGATATATACATATAAATTTTTTAAAATTGTACCAACTTTATATAAGCCCCACTCAGCGTAGTCATTATACAATTAAAAATCAAATAGTTACAAGGCGGCCAAGTCGTTCTCACTTCCAAATATAGCATTCCACTCACAGTCTCACTTACGTCCAAAAAAAAATAGATGATAATACTGAATAACCGTTATGCCAAAATTTCAGTATCTGACAATACTCTCTCTATATATGATCTTTATATTACTATTATTATATATAGATACATTATTTTCTAACATATTTTTAATAGTTTCTCCACTCATCGTAGTCGTGCAAATTCCTGATCATTGCCACGTCACCAGAACCAAAACATATTGGCGTAAATTAACCACATTTTTCCAGATGCTCAGCCTTATCTTTTGGTGTTTGCAACTTGCAACTGATCAAGCCACTAGACACCGCGACATCTCGCGTTCCATTGCCGCCGCAACCGCCACAGCCGCGGTTGACGCTTCAACCAGCGGTCTACGGCTGGCAATGTCGAGCAAGAACCGCGACACAGCATCGGTGCTTGGTCCGGCCACGAGCCTCTCCCACGCCACGTCAGCATCCGCCTTCAACCTCCGTCTCGTGAAAACCGGAGTCGCATCTAATCTTTGAATGCACCACTTCTTGACTTTTCTCAACCGTTCGATCTTTTCTCTCTGTTTGCAAGCTAATCCAAAAGTGTTCCTCTTTATTTCCTCAACAACTTTACTCAATAGTTCTTCTCTGTCTCTCACGTTCAAGAACGGTTCGTTTCTAAAAAACGTGTCAAACTCTGGAACTCCGATCGCTTTCTTGATCCCTCTCGAGTAATCCGAATCCGATAAGTCAAAAACTTCTCTAACTTCGTCAACCATTCCGTTTTCCACCATCTTATCAACTCTCTCAGAGACAAACCCGTGCAAAACGGGGAGTGCCACATCGACCCATAGGAAGCAACAGTCGTATCTCGACCGGAATTTGTAGTCTTCGTCGTCCACAAGAGCCTCAACGTAAGAGTTGGAACCTCCAACGATTATTGGAAGCTTTCCACGACTTAGGACAGATTCAACAGAGGAATTCGCCATGTGGCGGAAATTCGAGGCAGTTAAGTCGGCTTCAGGCGGCAAGACGCCGAGGAGATGGTGCGGTACACCGCAGCTCTCCTCCGTCGTGATCTTGTTGGTGACAATGTCGAGACCTTGGTGGACTTGGATCTTGTCGGAGTTAATGATCTCGGCCGGAAAACGTGTGGCTAGATCAACGGAGAGTCGTGACTTGCCTGTTCCGGTAGCACCCATGATGACCACGACTTTGTCCCTTGGACCGTATGGGTTTAGAGTTAGCATATTGGGACCAAATCTCGCCGGAGGGAAGTCTAACGCCGGAGACAGAGGCAATGGCTGTTTGCACATGGCCATAGATATCTTCATGATCATGATGATATATATCAAAACTTTGCAATACAAGCTTCGGATGTTTTTTTGTATGTTTTGATTATATGTTTTGAAGGCTTGTATCGACTTATGAAATGTTCAGGTGACTTTGCATGAAGGATTTGATTTATATATATAGGGTCACACACTTGGTGAAATTAACAGTATAGTACGAATGATACAGGACAAGTAGGAATCGCTTTTTAATTGGTCAAACCTGTTATTTTTCTCTTTACTTTATTCTCCTATATTTGGTTTAGGCTAGCTAGCCAAATACGCGTGCAGATGATATATATTGATAACGTCTCAATCAAATGTAAACTTCTATTACGTTTGATGTGAAGTTAAGGTACGATATTTTTTTGGAAATTAATGATTAGATGGAATGCAGAAATATTTTAGGACCTCTATCCATTTTTGATCAAAGAATTATATACGTTTTGAATACAACAAATATTTATTCTACTTTACATTATTAAACATCAACTTAAACTAAAAACACTTAAATAAATTAGGGTTATTATGCTTCCTCTCATGATCGGTCTAG